AAAGGGTCCAAAGCACCTATACAGTAGAATGCAGGGGTTCTGTATTAGGAACTACGGGTGTAATTTAGGAAAGTATCCCCCCAGGTATCCCTATAGATCCCTTAAAGGAACCCCGAAAGGAACCCCATAGATCCCTTCAAGGAACCCCTAAAGGAACCCTATAGATCTCTTAAATAAAAGGAACCCTTAGACAACCCTCTGGGATTGGTCAGCCAAGAGGCTGCTGCACTTCGGAGCGACATCGAAAGCCAAAGCAGCAAAGCCCAGTTGGCTCGCCGAGTCACATAGTGCCTGGTTGTTCTTACTTAGTTGCCGAGTTCATAGGCCACAAATATTTAAACTATCGGTTTAAAGAAGGACTCACTGTCCCAAAAGGTCTGAAGTTTATAAACTCAGCTACTAAGTTGTTAGTCTTAAGGAACCTAACTTAATATACCATACCTGTCCAAAACAGAGATATAATGTGCGTATACATACGTACACGTACATACACGTACATACACGCATGCACGCATACACACGTGAAGCCACATGCATACACATACATACATACATACATACATACATACATACATACATACATACATACATACATGCGTACATACATACATACATACCTATTACTTGCATATGTAAATGTCTATATACATACGTACAGAGTAAGAAAGAAAGCATCAACTGTTCCGTTTTTCATGACAACGTCCATGCGGCTCCTTAGCAATTGCCAAGATACCCCAAAAGCCAAGGCGAGGTGTTGCTCGGATGCCGTTGGATTAGATGCCTTACTGGCCAAGTTATAGGCCTCACGGCCTGTAACGGGAGCAGAGGGAGGATTTAGCATCGGGGTTTGGGGTTTACAGTTTATAGGATTTCCTACAGAGCCTAAGGGCGGTCCACAAAAAAAAAGGTTCGATCTTTTTCTACAATCTTGATGACTAAGGTTCTGTCAGCGTGGTGAGATCCAGGACGGCCACCAGAGTGGGGCGGAACCGCACTGCCTGCAATGCAAGCAGCACCTCTAGTGCCTGAGGTGGGCTCCCTGCCGTTCCAGCTGGGCGTGGGATGTACTTGATGTGTATGCGCCGCAGTGCTTCGTGCATCTTCTCCTGGGCAATTCTTGCGGAACTGAGTTTGAGCCACCAGAATGATAAGTCAAATTCTAACAAGATAGCTCTACTACGGCACCTACATCAACTTCCTAGAGCTACCAGAATGCGACTCCATTTACGACCATGGCTTCTCAAATTCATTGGGCTTGGCGGGCCCAGAATGTGACAACGACATATATAGGCAATATAGGGGCTTAGGGTTTGGGTGTTTAGGGTTTCGGGTTCTTAGGATGTAGGCTTTAGGGGTTTAGGCTTTAAGGTGGAGGGCTTTTCAACTAAGAAGTCTCCTCCACCACTTCTGCTGCGAACTGCGCACTCCGCAGCATCCCAGCGTCACAGAGTAGGAGGACTGATGCCTCGGGGTCCTTGCAATGCCGCAGCAGAAGGTCGATCAGCGCCTTCCTTGGCTGGTGCGTACCAAGAGGGCTGAAGGCTTAGGGTTTGGGGCTTTGGGTTTAGGGTTTAGGGCTCTGGGTTTAGGGTTAGGGCTCTGGGTTTAGGGTTTAGGGCTCTGGGTTTAGGGTTTAGGGCTCTGGGTTTAGGGTTTAGGGCTCTGGGTTTAGGGTTTAGGGCTTTGGGTATAGGGTTTAGGGTTACTGGGTACTACGAGGGTCCATATAATTTTTCTACGATTACGGAGTTAGGGGGCCTGATTCCATAATGGACGTATCTTCAGACCCCCTGGGCAAGAAACTTCTTGTAAGCTAATGGCTAAAGGTAAGGTGCCACGGATAAGACGCAAACCGTAGTTTAGTTTATGCATCTGCCACAAAAACAAACCATACTAGCCACTATAGACTCCAAATTATATATAGTTAGCTGAGTTCAAACAAACAACATAATACTAGCGCTACTTCAGATCCCAAACTAATAGTCACCCTGAATTCTTGAATAAATCCTCAGCTTCCCCCGCTCCGCAGCCGAAGTGGTTGCCTCGAAAAGAACGACCTGGGCGTTTCCGAAAATAGGGGACCCTAATATGATACCTTAAATAGTAGGATCGTTATTATAAGGACCCCAAAATAAGGTACCCTAGTATAATACCTTAAATAGTAGGACCGTTATTATAAGGACCCCAAAATAAGGTACCCTAATATAGTACCTTAAATAGTAGGATCCTTATCATAAGGACCCCAAAATAAGGAAAACCCCAAGCCTAAACCCTAAACCCTAAACCCCAAACCCTAAACCCTAAACCCTAAAACCCTAAACCCTAAACCCCAAACCCCAAAACCCTAATTTTTGGAGACTCCCACCTGGGTGACCCCCGGGGCCAGCGAAGAGGAGACCGTGTCAGGTGGTCTCTGGTCCACCGACTCCATGGGCCGAGGATCTTTGGGTTTTAGGGCTTATAGGGTTTAGGGTTCTTTAAAGGGATCTATAGGGTTCCTTAAAAGGGTTTTAGGGCTTATAGGGTTTAGGGCTTCAGGGTTTAGGGTTTAGGGCTTTGGGGTTTAGGATTTCGAAACTATTTGGGTTTAGGGTTTAGGGTTCAGGGATTTAGGATTTCGAAAGTCTTTTTTTGGCTCCCTTAGTTGTCCACGGTACAATTTCACTACATTCTAGGGTCGGGTTATAGGATGAGGAGCTTAGGATTTAGGGCCCTGCGGTGTTCTGCAGCCCCTTCGTGGGATGTCGTCTCCACAAGCTTGGGGTTTAGGCTTGACAAACTCGTGAGACAGACAGTACAGCTTAGCATGGGCGAATGTGGCTTCATGTGCACAGGCTCCTTCAAGAAAACATGCTGCGATGATAAGAAAAAGCGTGCGCTGACAGCTGAAAATCCTTACCCTAAAGCTAGAAGCAGGGGTGCTGGCCTCCCAAAGCCAATCCGAAACCAGAAGCAACAAAGGTTAAAGTGAATGGTGCAGCATAGTTCGTGTGCCAAGACAAACTCAAACTATCGCATGAATCGCATGAAGGTGTTTGAAAGTGCTTCTATAGCCCAAATAATTGGGAGTTCATAAGGTGGGAACCCTAGAAACCAGAACCCCCCGTTGAAAATTTGCCAAGGGGGCCTCCTTAGGCTTCACCCCTAAAGCCGAATATGGTGGGCCTCCTTGATTTCCATGACGTGATGGCCCACGGGATAGTCCGCCATGGGTGCGTTGCTGTCCCAGAGGATCTGGGTGGAAGGCTTATAGGGTCAGTGTTATGCAGGCGCGCGGGCCAGTGCGCGTGCTAAGCTCTTCTTGTGGTCGGAGTGAGTTCGCTGCGAGGTTCTCCCTTTGATCCGTGCACATTTGTGGCTATCCCTACGTGGAAGGCACTTCAGGAAACACGCCAATACTTAACACGTTTTGGGGAGGCTAGAGTTCAGGGTGTAAGTGGGGTCCCCGCGAATGCTTAAAGACCGTAAACTATGGGAATTATGGTATATTCCTTATTCTGGGAAATGCAGGATTTTTGTCATCAACCGTACTCTCCTAAGCCCAAACAAGGCACCTCCAGCTCTTGCGGCCTCAATCCTCAACCACTGCAAACTACATGCAGACTAGAGACCCTAAACCTTCTGCCGCAACACATCAACACCCGGATTTAGGGCTTAGGGTTCTAATATAACTTCCCCCACGTTTCATAGCTAACGTGGTTTCATTTATTTTTAGCTGGGATTTAGATAATGATATACATCTTGCCGGAGTCTGTTCTTGGTTCGTAACGAAAGAGACACTCGAGGGCTAAGACACTTCATGAAATGTTGATCATCACTCGCAAATCCGGACACGAAGCTTCGGAATGTTTTCGGCAGCTGCTGTCCCAGCGGCTTGTGGTGCACGTCCAAGCCAGAAGAGAGGCCCCCACTATCAAAGTACTATTTGCTAGACTCCTAACTAACGAGGTTGAGAACCCAATTGAACAGTAGCCATGCTCTAGTTCATTCGGCAACCCTCTGGCGCTGACGATCGTTGCCGATGTCTACATCGGCAGGTCTCCGTACCCCCCTATGCCCCTCCTCTTCGGGAGGAGGCACAGGTTGAGGAGGAAAGGTTTCTCGAACACTGCTTTGTTCTTTCTCAGACAAAGTGGCAAACCACTCGTGAGACCAGGAAGTACCGGCAAGGCATGCTTGAATCCATGTTCTGTTCACCCCTCGGGGCAAAGCTTGGGCATTCGGCGGGACAAACGACCAACTTCTAGAAGACTTTCCGCCGTGACGGGCACCTGTCACAATCCGAACCTGCAAGAAGGGTGCTGCATCAGCAGGACGGCCGATCCAGGCACGAGTCCCTGGGGCGAGCTCATGCCGTGGGACTTGGTAACCATGAGGCGGTAGGCGACGTCTTTCATCTGCTGGCTCCGCACGTTCCTGAGTTCTTTATGTTCCTGTAAAAGCAACGACATCAACAGTGAGTTTGATGCTTGTCTTGCTTGTTTGTTCTGCTAAAAAAATGAGTGCATGCAAGATGCTTCCGCTGCCACCCTCACAACCCGACCCTCGGCTTCTGCATCGATCTGAAAATCGGCTGGGTGATTGGCAGGGCCAGGCTCCAAAATGGGGGCTGCGGGCTCCTGAAAGTCATCATCTTCAGCCGCCTGGCTCCCTTCTCCATCAGCATCATCATCTTGACAATCAAGAGCCAAGGCTAGTTCATCCTCGCGTCGCTCGTCTTCTGAAGCAGTATCCTCATCATCAGCCTAGGATGTGTTATTTCACCAGAGAAGTTTGGTTGCTAAGCCTAACCCCTGATGCCTTCACAGGTAGAAACAACCCTGAACTGTTGAATGTGGTCAACAGACAGTTTTAGGGACCCATTCACGTTGCTAAGCTAAGACCTGTCACATAACAGCCAAGGAAACACATATATGATTAATTAATCGGTTTGGCAGAGTATACAGTATACCCTATAGCATACACATACGGATTAGTAAGTACCCCACAAGCCGAAAGACTCAGAAACCCGACCCAGCAATTTCTTTGAAAAGCATTGTCCGGGTGGCATCATTCTGGCCATCTGCAGCGGCACGAGCTCTGCGTGGACGGGGCTCGGGCAACTGCTCCAAGATCTCATCGATGTAGTCCTGCGGGTAGTTTTCTCTTTCCAACAGGCGTTGTACTCGATCACGGTGAGTGGCTTTTCCACCTCCCAGGCCATGTAGCTGAGAGAACTGCACAATCCAACCGGCTGGCATGTTGAGGATGGAGTGTGACAGGAGGTACCTGGCAGGAGGTAGCCAGGCTTCTGCTTGCAGCAAGAGTCCATGCTGCTCGGAAGCAACACCCACTGCTAGCGAGAGTTGCCCTGAGACACCGTCGAATCTCAAGGTCTCCTGAATGACGGTCCTGGAAGCGGAGAGCCGGTAGTGCAGGGAGTCGTTGTGCACAGCACTCTCCACCACTGCATAGCGGACTGTGTGAGGTCCTGCTTGCAAAACCAATCTGGTTTCAGCTTCGTCTTGGTCACCCAGGCGCCACAAGCTGCAGGGTCGGAGCATGCGACAGGGCCATGACTTGGAGCACAATTGCTCCAGGTCGATCTCGGGGTCAGCCTCGAACTCTTTTAGGAGCACACAGTAGAGTCGAAGTCGCTGCTGTAGGACATGGGGTTTCGTGATGTGAGAGCAGAATTGCTGATTGGTCAACTCCACCATGTTGACACCTAAATCACGATCGTTTTGGCGATGGTTCGCCAACACGGAGGTTTTCAACAATCTCGCTGACTCCCTGTCTGACCAGTCACGGGCCTGGAGATCAATCCTCTCGAGGGGGCTTCTGCCCCAGGAGGACTTGATCGCAGAGCATGCCAGTGCCGGAGGCGTCCGTATCTCCTGCTTCTGACTCCACCGCTCTGCATCTCGCAAGTCATTGAATGTCAACTCGCATGCGAGAGAGCTCAATGTGCTCGCTTCCACATTTTTCAAGGTCAAACCTGCATAGGAAAGAAAGATTTCTCTGACACGAGCGGCATCCGGGTGATCGGCATCGTACTTGATGGACCTGAGATGCACTTGGAAGCAATAATATGGCAAGTAATCAGAAGGCAAGCGAATTTACCTGCTGGCAAATGCATCAAAGCTGCTCGGCCTCCACGAGAAGCTCTCGGAATGTCTGCCACCTGGTGAACGACATCTTCTTGTAGAGGTCACCTCGACGATTTAAATCGTCGAGGCGTCGAACGAATGCGACCTCGACTCGCATTGCACTCAACAGCTGTACGAATCTGCGCTCGTGGCATGCAAGGATTGACTTCCATGGAAAGCATTTGAAGTGGTCGCCCAGCTCATACATGCAACCAAGCCAAGAGCAGGTCAGGGCCACATGCATTTGCATTGTCTCCTGTGCCCCAGCATCCAAGCTGGGATTCGAGGCATTGATGGCTTCCAGAGTAGCCCATGATGTCGCGTCGGCGATGGTCTCCCTGGCAGTGGATAGCGGGGGCGGGCCAGGCATGTTGAGAAGCTTGAGGGTGGGACATGAACTAAGTAGTACGAACAGAACTTCAGATGGTCACAGTGGCAGTGACGAGGCCAAAGTAGCTCGAGAGCCAGCAGCATACAGGGTTCACAGTCCTAAAAACCCAAAAATAGGTTATGAACGACTTCCATAATAGCAGTCCTATAGTGAATATGTGTTTCAGTGACCTGGAAAAAGTCATCTGGTCACGAGTGTGCAACTCCAGCAGTGTTTGACACCCCTCGCCTCACGAGGTGCTGCACTCTCGCACCTGTTGCCGAAGCCAAACAATGTTTCACGGAGCCCTTCACGGTGCTCTGAAGGTCCTTGACCTTATAACAGCAACCGGATGAGACTGCAGCCGAAGGAAAAACGTGTGGAGCAGCGAGCGAAAATGCAACCCAACAGCCACTTGCCCCATCCATGCACGAGCCGGTCCGAAGATTCGCAAGCAGCTTCGGAGCTTGTCTTGGTTGGTGGAATCGCACAGGACCTGCAACGTACTGCACAAGAACATGTGGGAGTTGCCACCAAGCATTGAAAAAAAAGACCCATGCAAAGTCTTGCAAGAGCACTCTTATCCAGAACAGGCCTGAAAGGTCAAAGCTCGAATCGAGTAGGACTTGCTTTCATCTCCATCTGTGGCAGGCAACAAGTAAGGATTTTCACCGGACTCCCAGTAGGCGAACATCTGCTCCATAAGTTGCATGTTCCAGGTACCTTGCAGCATGCAGAAACAGACAGTAGCATTCGCACACTGTCACTACTGCAGCAAGGTTCAAGTTGAAGGCACCCACTTGCAAACTCAATGCTTGAGCCAGGCACGGTCAAACCGCTGTGCATGGTCAAACCAACTGAACCATCGTCCGGCGGTGCACTCTGTGGCACCGGTCCAATGCAGCAGACCTGTCCAAGAGCAAGAATTACTGAAGGCTGTATGGTTCTTAGAGTTTGTGTCCTGCACAGAAACTGAGAAGTTATGGACTCCCAGGCCTGATTTGCTTTTCAGCAGCTTGATGGCTCTGGTGTGGGACATGTCACTCGCTGCCATTCCTTGGTCCCTTGCAATTCCTACTATGCAGGCATCAAGGAGGTTGGAACCTTCGTCATTCTCCAAGGATGATAGCATTCTAGCCCTGGATTCCTTGCGAGCCCGACCGAATCGCGAGGATCCGAAAGGTCCTTTGCATCCTCGAAAGACTTTGCTGACTTTCCTCAGCAGCTGAGCAGCCTCGGGACAAGAGCTAAATGCATTTGCCTGACGGCGGTGAACCAAATGGGGAATATCCGGCCAGAGCATCACGAGGCATCCAGCATGACATAGATGCTGCATGGCACCAAGGTTCTCTGAACCTTGGTCCCCTGCCATGATCAACCGCAGCGGAGCCACACCCGTCGCACCTGGGAAATCCGGGGTGCTTTTGCCATCGCTGGAGTGGTAGAAATAGTAGTCTCTGTTTGGGTTGGCATACATCAAATCTTTCTCGGCATCTGTGAGCAAATAGCGATCTCGCCTTTCTCCTGCCTCAAGGATGTGCTCTGGCATAGTTGCAGCAAAGGAAAACCCCGGAAAGAGCAGCTGCAAACAGTTTCGCACAGCATGCAGGAGCTCTGGAGCTGTTTGGTCGAGGATCGGTACCTTTTCAACTCCTTGTATGTCGGCTTCAGAAGAGCCCCTCCGGACTCCAAGCCGCCTCCTCTCAGTGCTACCTGCAGTGCTTGCATGGTTGTCGCACTGTCTGCCGAGTTTGTGGCATCCGGCAAAAGTTGGATCATCGCAGCTGCTTTGTCCCCCAGTTGGAACTGAAAGCTCAGCACCTGGAGAGCACCCAGTACAACTTTCCTGGAAGGTTAGCTCTTCGCGCACACTCTGAAAGAACTAACCCCCCCTCCCCCCCAGATTCTGCAAGCTGGCCTCGAAAGTACAGGCTCGAGCACTGTCCATACAGAAATTCAAGAATCTGACCCGGCTGTTCTCCGGTGCACTTGCCTGTGCCAATTCGGAAATCTTGGCCAAGTAGCGAATCAAATACTCTGACCCGGCTGTGCTGGCAAGCCTGTTGTTGGACCCAACCAATCCCAAATCCTTCAGGTTGGCATCGTCTTTCGTACTCAAGAAACCTGAGGTTCTCTTCGCGAACCTTGCAAAGATCGTCTGTTTGAGAACCGTGCTTCCGCGGCGTCGCGAATGCTTCAAGAGTGGGTGATAAGAGGCACAATGTTGCGGTTCAGGACAGTCGTGTAGGACTGGACCGTCACTGCGCTCCATTCGCACTTCAATGTTTTGACACCACATGTTGAGCACCCTCTTCGTAATCCGAAGAGCAGAAGCATGATCCCTGAAAGAGCTTTTCTGCCGTGTCACGAGGAGAACATACAAAGCCTTGCCCAAGGTGATGTAGAGTCTGTCGTTGGCAAAGAGCCTGCAGGCTCGAGGCCGAAATTTGGGGAGGGNNAGGGGAGGGGAGGGCAGGCCCCAAACTCGGCTGATGTTCATGATGCTCTCCCATTGCGGGTGTTCTTTTACGTGTTCTTTTCTTTTAAGAAAAAGAACGGGGGCTCGAGGCCGAAATTTGGGGAGGGGAAGGCAGAAGAGGGGAGGGGAGGGCAGGCC